TTCAAAGCTACTGACAAAAAACTATTATATCAAAGTAATATATAATAAATATAGGAGTTTTTATCATTAAACAAAGAAACTGAAACGTAAAAAATCTTTGTGATAGTAAGAGTCTCTCAAAGAAAAAGTTTTTGTCTTATATTATTTACTCTGTTCTAAGTTAATGTAGAAGGGGAGCTTATAAAATACAACATCGAAGGTATTAGTATCGATGGAATAAATAATTTACTGTTATCAATTTTTATGGTAGCTGTGATCATCTTTTCCGGGTTCATATCGTTCTGGTTTTTGGTTATTATTTTCTCGAATAATACGAACAAAGTTAGCAAAAAGTAAATACTAACAAAGTCATCATTCTTTACTTCAATTTTCATTTTCTAAATAATAATTTCTATATATGATTAATTTCTATATGGATTTATTAATATGGACTAATTGATAGTCAATATGAAATTGTTCCAACTGTAATACAAACGACTAATCTGTCTTCTTAATTAAGAAAGTTTAGTATAAAGAAGAAAAAAGGAGTTATTATGATTATAATTTGTATTTTTGGAAAAGTTTGAGGAATAATATTTATCTTTCTTATTATATGTAATTATGCGTTCCTACTAATTATTATAAAACATGAGAATAACAGAACATGATAATAATAAAAATGTATCAATAACTGACAATAATAATAGTTGTTGGAAATACGAGGGTTATTTGATAAGTCAGTGACTTTTTAAATTTCTCGCGCAGTTATTCCAAATGCATCAGTGCTGCCGTCAGCTGTAATGTATAAGTGGGCAACTTCCTAATTTTGAGCAAGCTACGTCGTTCAGTTGGTATTTGATAGCCGTTCAAAGCAGACAACCTCGTGAATTTTTACGAAAATGGAAAAAAGTGAATTTCGTGTGCTGATTACGTCACGATGGCCAAAATCCACGAATTGGGATACGAACTGATACCCCATCCAGCATATTCTCCAGATTTAGCCACCTGCGACTATTTTCTGTTTCCTAAAGAAACCTAAAGAAATGGCTGGGCGGTAAGAGATTTGAGTCGAATGAAGAAATCATTACCAAAACAAACGCGTATTTTGAGAAAATTAGAAAAACGCTGGACTAAATGTATGGAGCTAAAAGGTGGTTATGTAGAAAAATAAAATGTTTATTTGCCGAAAAAAATTTGTTTTATCCAAAAAGTCACTGACTTATCAAACCGCTCTCGTATTTTTTGTTCTTGTTACTGTACACTGTTATTATGTTACCGAGTTACCGGTTTCCGAGATAATTACTGGTGATCATAGATACCAATATTATGTATGTAAATAAGCCTGAAGAATACAAATATTTATTTTTGTATTTAAAAGATTTATTAGCGGCGTCTGATCCTTAGGGGGCATTTACTATTTTAACTAATTAGTTGTGTAAGGAATGAAATGTTTTATGTTATTTTTTATGAAAACAATATAAAACCAAAAATTGCTTAAATGTGAAGAATAAAGTCATTACTTTTAATGAAAATAATTATGGTTTACTCAAAATTATGGCCAACAAATTTTCGGAAATAAAAATCGCACAAATAACTTCGGGCGTAAAATTTTTAATTATACACAATTTTCACAAAAAGTATGAATTAAGAAAATATACATATTCATAAAAAGATTATCTTTTTAAATTAAATGCAAATTTTTTTATTTATATAATATATATTTTTAATTTAATTTTATTTTATTTATTTTCGTACAGTTTTTAGCATTTTTATTTACTTTTTTAATTGCGGTTATTATTTGCTAAGCAGCCTTCAAGTTTGTTTTGTTTCGGAAGCGCATGAAACTCTTTTCTGTTTTTATCTCTTGCAGAAAATCCAAAGCCACGAAAACCAATTGAAAGATCATCAAAATTTAGTTGGTAAAAAGGTGTTACTGATATGTAATTACCTTAGTGAGTAGTTATTGTAATATGCTTAATATATAATTACCGCAGAGGTCATTAGGTTTATTGGTTAAAATTTTTTGGTTTCACTAACAAGAAAAATCAAAACCTTGAACTGCCAGAAAAGGTCAGAATTTTGGTAAATTAGTTAAGGAAAATTTAAGTTTTAATAGAAAATTTATTTTTATGTGCTGTGAAATACAATTATTTGTATGAGTTGTGCAATATTTTCTATTTCCGCTTAAATTATCAACCTATATCATGCATTTTAAGGCGTTAAGGAAATCTATAAAGCTGTTAAAAGAATTAATAGTTTTAATATTGCTGCATCTTCCATCTTACTGCTATTTTAATAAGTATAAAGTACTATGTAATAAGAATAATAATATTGGTTGTATCCTATTTTAATATGTTTGAAACTTACAGTCAAACTCGAATTTTCTATAACTCCAACTATATAGAGTACAACAGGGTTTAGAGAGCCAATAACATACAATTCTTTAACTCGAAGTCTCCATAAGTCGAACCATTTCTTTGCAAAATGCAGATTTGAGTTATGGAAGTTTGAATGTACATAAATACATACTAATTATATATATATATTCCTTAAATAACAAACCGATCTAATTAAGTTACTAAATTTTATGGAAAGTATAATTACATTATTTTTTGTAAGCAGACTTTTTATCAATCAATAAATGTGAAGTCTGTATATTAACGAAATTATCTGATTCTGTTATTATATATAGTCTCTACAAAAAAAAATATGTTGATCTGTCAACGAATTTAAATAAAGACAATTGTGAACCACTTTTTCCTTTACAACAATACAGTGCTTTACAACAACACACCTTCAAGGTATTGAATTTTAAAGTTAAAAATTTTTATATGAATACTACCAATAACTAGACTAGACCAATAACTATAAATGTTTGGTGTTTATATTTCGTCAAATATGTTTTCAGTTTTAACATTATTTTTTATCAAAAAAAATATCAATGGTTCACAAAAAAACACATTAAATATTTTTCCGTTATTTTTAATAAATTGAATATTTTTCCGATACGTTGCACGTTTTCGGCTGAGAAAAACTGGTCCAAATTAAGCTTACATCTGTGAATTAAACATTGATTCTTTACTGAGATATGAAACATCTTTTTCAATGTGCCGATCTTTTAACATTGTTTCTTGTTCATATATGTTGGTTGTCCGAAGGGTATTAAGGCTTCAGTAAAGACTAGGGTAACTTTTTAATTTAATTTTTTTTATATTGTTATATGTATTGTGTATTGTATAATATTTATTGTATATTGTTGTTTTGTATATGTACGTCTTGTATATATACGCTGGGCACTTGCATAGAATATGTTCTTATATTGTTTTGTAGGAAGTTCAATGTAGAGTTTAATATCATTTCTGCTGATCCTGAGGTGTTCAGGATCAATGAATCTTCTTGACTGCGTATACCTGTTTGGGCTCTTCAGTGTAGATTTTGTTATTAATATTTTGATATTAAGTTATTTATGAAGCTATTTGTTACCCCACAGCAGACCTTTGGACTAATGAAAGGAGTATATGCACCCTCTATTGCTAGGGAATCTAACATTTCATTGCGCTCATAACCCTCATATCACGTTACCAACATAAGAGTAACATAGTTCTTTAATGCTAGAGTATTGAGAAGTTGAAAGCATTCCCAGACTAACTTTGATTGGAATGAAGAGTTTGCCAAAGATTTTAGAGCTGCTTGGGTGTCTAAAAGAATGTATATTTTGGTACATCAGGTATAACTGCGTAGACGGTTTTTACCACTGCGATGACTTTCCGAAATTTCGGTCCTATAATTTCTGCACGGCCATCTTCGATTTTGGACCCATCAGTACTATAAAAATTTGACCCCTGTTTAAAGGTAATTTCGTTATTTCTCCAAGTTCCTCGGTCACTGACACCCACTTCCTTTAAGAAATGGAGAAAGCTAGTCTTATATTCATCTTATCAAAGACCTTAAGACACGGATAATTTCAGATTTCATCCAGAATCTTTATGTGCCTTACTAAATTGCCCTCTTTAATATTACATAGATAAGGGAGCCTTATTAAGAAGTAGAAAATTTACCATCTTGTATTATTAATCAAAAAATAATGATTAAAGGCTAAAATGATTATAGCCACACTATATAAATTTAATTTTAAATTGAGTACAAAAACTCTATATGGTCAAAATATCACCACTACTATTAAAATGAGCATTTACGACTTTACGAAAATTTGTGTTTCTAAAGTATCTATCGTTGCTACTAATTATATGATTTTAGACAGAAAAAAAAATTTAATGAGATGATCTTAAAAAATATACTTCACTTATAAACATATTAATGCTTGCAAATTTCTAGTTAATAGATCCAAAATTCATTTGGATCTTGAGACTCAGTTAATTTCTTTCACTCTGCAAAGAGAATCACTAATAATTACATGTTAATTTGCGTTCAGAAAACCAATAGGGACAGCTTTGACGAAACACTCACCTGTAGTAATTAAGATTCCATATCATTGTAAAAGATAATTTAGCTGATTTGATCAAAAATTCTACAGCCCATTTAGCACAAAATAGGCATAAAAGGATTTATATACAACAAAGTCAAGACTTAAGAAATAGCCACATTGTAAAACATTTAATAATCAGGGAACCGGAATATCAGAGATTATAAACAAATATCTTCTAAAACATAAGCTACAAAGTAGATTGTTCATCACAACGAATGTAATGGTAGTTCTCTACTCAACATAATTTTTAATTGTAAAAATATATATCATATATATAAATACTTGAGTGAAGAAGTTTTCAGTATTATAATAATTAATATAGGGATTACATATAAGATCAAGTTCATCTGTTCAAGTTGGACTAGAAGTGTATTTGTTTGCAGATTTTTATGATGAATACAACGATTTAAAATTTATATAATACATATATGTTACCATGTTAATTTATTTTTTGTCTTTTTATAAAAATAAATTATAAATTTTAGAATTTTATAAATCATCTTTCCTTAAATACTAATATATTATTATTTTTTTATCATAGTGTTAATACTTCTTGTAATGCTGCACAGCACTTTGGCCGATTCTGGAGTAAATATATCAAATCATTTATAGATTCAATATTATATAATTTACAACTTTCTTTAAATAGACACCTGCACGTGCTTTAGCTAAACGAACTGGAGCCACACAATTCGAAGAGGAAATATACGAAACGAGTCCCGACTCTAATGAACACAAGCACCATCTTAAAAAACGTTCGTCAGATGAGGATGTAGACTATGAAGTCTACCAAGGTGTAGTTGGTCGACCTGGTATAGATTTCCCCATATATCCACGGATACCAAAAACTTCATTTAGTTGTAGATCATTCGGAAATGGATATTTTGCTGATATGGAAACTGATTGTCAGGTAAATAAGAGATTTATACAACAATTTCTTTTATTGTTCGGATAGGTGAAAATGTAATATGCATTTATATCATTATTTTTAGGTCTTTCACATATGTGAAGAAGGCCGCAAGATATCTTTCCTATGCCCGAACGGAACGATATTTCAGCAAAGTGAACTCATTTGTGATTGGTGGTTTAAAGTCAATTGTTTGGGTTCATCTGGTTTTTATGCTGAAAGCTCCGAAATTTTGAATAAGCAGAAAGTCCAACGTCTACGCCCATCGGTACCTGTGCAAGGCTTTAATATCGTGGGCGGCGGTTTAAATATAAAACCAAATATAGGTAACAGTGTTGGACTTGCAAGACCACGTAATAAATCAGAACGTCGTATTGACTCCAATGAAGAACCATCTGTAGAAACTATCGATTTTGATGATATTTCTGCCGAAAAACCAAAAGTCTTAACAAATATCGATAACAATAACAACGAACATGAAGCACAAGAGACTGCCGAAAGCGGTTCACTTATAGGCGCCAATAGACGCAACAATTTCAATTACGATAAAGGTAATACCGATCCCAGTACTAATAAAATTAAGCAAAACAGTCGTGCCAATACGACACCAAACAATAGCAAACGTTCTAACAATGAACGGGGAGCACAAACTAAAAATAATTGGAATCCACCAAATGGTGAGCCCAGCGAACGCGCACGTAATGGTCAACGTGGTAAACAACGCTACAGAGAGGACAAAACACCAATTACAGCTTCCGTAGAACTTAATGGTAGCGGTGAAAAAACCACCGTATTACGTGTACAAAAACCATTGCAAGTTGTACCATTCGATATAAGCGGCAGATCCAATGGCAAAAGTAGTATTAGTGCGGAGCCAGCTGACCAAACTGATTACTATCAAACACAATCTACACGCACTATAGAAAAGTCGAAGAGTACTACACCATCACATTCAATTGGCACTTACTCCACAGCTAGACGTTTAGATTCCACAAAAACAACTGCATTCTATACACCAACAGTGCCATCGGTTTCCAAGCCAAAGACTACAGAAGGCAAAAGTTATTACGTGAAGGGTAAAGGTGGTGTAAACAATCCAGCTACTACACCAAACACAAATCGTTTTAACAGTGCGACTGGTACGAGTTTGGTACTTGAATCAAGCACTACCCGCAAACCTACTACATTTGTTGCTGAAACTGAAAGCACTATTTCAACTACTTTCAAACCAATCGTCATAGGCATGCGTCATAACTATGATACTCCAGCTGAAATTCAAAGATTTAGCTTACAATCAGGTAATCTATTGGCCTCACAGAAAGACAAAAAAAATTTTGAGTTTACAACTACAACAGCTGCACCTACAGGACCTACATACTTGCCTAAGAGCGCTGCATCACCAACAGGTAACGATGATGCAGGTGGCGATTCGGTACTATTTGCACCCATTCCTGCAGTAGGTGATACGATTTCACGCAATGTTAACGAAATGATTAAAACAATTAATTTAATAAAAGATGAATTTGATGATGTCTCGCAAAATAAATATCAAGGCGAAGTACGTGCTGGACTTGAAATTCCGCCATCGTCCGGTCCAGATGCATTATTCTCGCTTGCTAAATACTTTGCTGCTGAACAAAATGGTTCATCTGCAAACGCTTTACCCGCTGATGTTAAAGAGAGTAAAACTAAAGCGTTAGGAAATGTAAATGTGGGTTCAGCAAGATCAGCTACAGGCTTGAAACCTTCTGATACTACTGCTTTATTAACCACACCTGCCACAGATAAAGTAAATGTCAAATCTGATGATATAGCGGCAGGGTTACTAAGAGAGAAAACTGTAACACAATACAGTAATCTTTTCGGCCTTAAAGACGCAAAAGGCAAACAACAAGAAGACACTGAAGTCAGCAAAACCGAAACCACTACCAGTTCACACTCACAATTCGACAACACAAAAACCAGTCTTTTTCCACAAATTGGAAGCACTGATGCTACCATACGCCAACTAGCTGAAAAAGCCGACTCACGTAAAATAGCGCAAGTGTTTTCAAATGCACTTAATACTTATTTAGAAGACCCCAAGACATTCCGCGCACAATTGGCATCAGTACGACCAACAGAGCCGTCCGCGCATAAACCCAACTTCGAAATTGTAACAGTAACAGATCCCTCATTATTTAAGTCAGGTACAGGCGCTTCATACTTACCCACTAAACCTACACCAGCTATTGAAAGTACAACTAAACGAGGCAACATCGCGGCGGAAATAAATACAAACTTTTATTACTCCACACGATTTGCTGATTTTACTAGCACTACCGAGATTCAGGATGCCACCACTTATAAGCCAAGAACCGCTGGTTCAACACATAAGCATAGTCTACAATTCTCCGGTGAATTGTTGCCACCTGGTGCTGATTCCGCAGAAGGTGACGCCGATGAGTTCTTACAACGTGAGCAAACGCAATCATTTGTGAAATCACGAAACAACTTAAACTTATCAAGCCAAGAGACTAAACACAAAGGTGACAAACATAATGCATTTAAACCAACTGAACATCCTTGGCAGCAAGTATCTCAAGCAGAGTTTCTTGATCCATTAACTATTAACGATGGTTTAATGAAAGGAGCTAAAACAACCACATCAAGTCCATTCACATATTTGCCCAAGGAGACAACTACACAATTTAGTACAACTTCTGAAGGAAAACTGCAAGTACTATCCTCGTCTTCACATCGTTTCAATGGTCAACGCAATAGCATACAACAGGGCAATGTGGATAGCGCTAAACATAGCAATACTGTCCAACATTCAACTACCACAGATTCTTGGCAAGAAATCTTCAACAACTACGACATACCACGCGAAACTCTGCCTTCAAGCAGCGGTTTACAACGAATTGCTAATAAATTATTTGGTGGACTTAACGAATCTGAGGCCCTACATCTCAAAAATGTAATGCAACAAGCAGAACATAATCGTCAAGTACTCAGTTTATTACTTTTACTTATACAAACCTGCGATGATCATAATGGCAAAGCTTTGGAACGATCTCGTAAACAACTTCTTAGTGCGCTAATAGATATGGATGGAAAGATAAAATATAACAAAAATCAAAATGGCAGCTATAAGGTATTGTCATCAGCTGTCAGTGGAACTACAACACGTGTTCCGGTGACCACTTACAGACGGGGCAGTGATGATATTTTCACACAAACTACTACATACTCCCCTACAAGCACCACTACAGACTTGTCAACAACAACAATTTCTTCTACTTCATCAAGCAGTAGCCTAGAAGAGACAACGAAATTCGAAATACGCGTTGAAGATCCTGAAGAGGAGTACACTACGCCCTCTTCAGGTACAGTGAACAGGAACTCTACATCGGATAAGAGAGCGCTTGAATTACTTAAGTCATTATACTCCTTAGCTTCAAAATTCACAAGTAGACGATAAAAAATAGTTATGGGACTAAACCAAAATACTCAATTCCTATTAGCAAAGATGGAACACGAAAATAAAAGGAACACAATAAATTAAAAAAAAAACTGGAAAAAAGAAGAAGAGAAAAATAAATGCAGTTAAGGTTTGAGGTATTTTTGCTTATATGCTGAGGCTAACTACGCTGAATGTTGAAGATGTGTTTTCTAGCAGTCAAAATTAAGTGTAAATTTTTATCGTTCAGACTTTATATTTAACTTTATTTAAAATTAAGATTTATATTTAAATTACATAAATATTTGAACTTATTTTTTTTTATTATAAAAAACTCAAATTATTTGAACTGCTAAACCTTTCTCCGGTTCTTTGATTCCCGGCGACTATTATTTTAGTGTATCCATCTTTTAAAACTGTTCTTATAAACAATTTTTTATTTTAATTTAATTTTTTATTTTGCTTTTATTGTATTATTATATTTAGATTTTAATATTAAGCTTAAACTATTTTTATTTTCAAATGCTATTGCAAATTTTTATCAGATCGTAATTTATTTAAAATGAAAAAAAAATATTCGAAAACACTATTTAATTTGCATAATACTCAATTTTTTTTTATTTTTATAAGCTTAAATATTCAAAATATTTTAATGTATTTATCTGTCACTATTTAACTTGAATGCTGCCTTGTTTTTATGTAAATATTTATTTTTAATTATTTTGTAAATTTATGTTTTGTAAATTGATTATTATACAATAAAAAATAAATAAAAATAAAAAAAATAAAACAAAATAATTTTTAATACAATTTCTTATTGTTCCTAAAAGCAGGCAATATTTTTAATCAGATGGCAAATAGGTTTTTCCAAAAAATATGCTACATGCTTAAAACGCTGACATATTATGAAGGAAAACGAACTAGAAGTTTCTCGCTGGTATCCTTATAACATAAAACGTCTTACACTATGTTCAGACAGACAAATTTCATGTAGGTCCATGAGTCATCTGGCTGCGCTCTATCAACGCTGAACATCGGCAGTTTGGTTCATGGATCGAAATTAAAAGGCTCTTGACAGACATTTTGTGGAAAAACTTCGTCTCCACCCTATGCTCTTACTCACAGCGGTGTCTTTACCCAATATATTATAGATAAATACATTGTAAATACACCAAGGAAATAATAATAATAATACACTGCCGGACTTTAACGGTGCCCTCCTGTGGTCCATACGTTCAAATGTTGCATCATTTTTGAGTTGTATTTGTAGAACCAAGCTTTATCACCTGTTACAATTTCGTTAAAAATGCAGGACACCATTTTAAAATTTTTAAAAAAAATATTGAGCAAAACACAAATGCCTCTCTTTTTCAACTTCAATTAGTATTTGAAAAATCCATCGCGCTAATTAATTTACATCGCGATTACTTAAAATATACAAAAATGCCACGACACTTAAACCCAGTTTATTAGCAATCATTTCTTGAGTCACTCTTAGATTGTCATCAATCTTAGACTTCATTAAAGCGACACTAATATCACAAATCGAAGATTTTAGATGAAGTTCGTTGAAGTACCCCGTATAAACATTTGCGACTTGGAAACTCCGAAACATCTTTGAGATGATTATAATCGATGGATCATTTTCTCCATATTATATTTAGTACTTATTAAATATTACTACATTGAAAGAATTAATTACAAATAATACGAGGGCAGTTTGATAAATCAGTGATTTTTTGTATAAAACAAATTTTTTTCGGCAAATAAACATTTTATTGTTCTACATAATCACCTTTTAACTCGATACATTTAGTCCAGCGTGTTTTTAATTTTCTTATTCCCTCCAAATAATAGGTTCTCTCAAAGCTCTCAAAATACGTGTTTGTTTTGGTAATGACTTCTTCATTCGACTCAAATCTCTTACCGCCCAGCCATTTCTTTAGGTTTCTTTAGGAAACAGAAAATAGTCGCAGGTGGCTAAATCTGGAGAATATACTGGATGGGGTAGCAGTTCGTACCCCAATTCGTGGATTTTGGCCATCGTGACGTTATCAGCACACGAAATTCACTTTTTTCCATTTTCGTAAAAATTCACGAGGTTGTCTGCTTTGAACGGCTATCAAACATCAACTGAACGATGTAGCTTGCTCAATATTAGAAAGTTGCCCACTGGTAGATTTCAGTTGACGGCAGCACTGTTGCATTTGGAATAACTGCGCGGGAAATTCAGAAAGTCACTGACTTATCAAACCGCCCACTTAAATTCCGTAAAGAATTGCAAGCAGATTTCTTACTACGATAGCGACTATTCATCATTAAGTTTATGTGATTTTCCTGCTTCCATTTTAAATGCTAACTATAAATCTTCAAAGGAAATATTGTAATATCAGAATTCGAATCTGGCTCAAAGATTCAAATACATTAGTAAACAATGGACATGGCAGGGACCACTTTGAGTCGAAATTTTTCTATCTTTCTTTTGGCAAGCTGTGAAATTACATTTACTTATAAACTTATCTAAATGATTGGTTACACTTCAGTATTTCTTTATCGGAGTGAGTACTCGTTCCGCAAAATGAATACTGTAAGTCCATAAAGGTTTTAAAATAGTTTTTTTTTTGAAGTTTTTTATTTATTTTGAACATAAAGTGCAGAGTTTGAATTAAACAACCACTCTAACTTTTTAGCTATAATTTTTGTTACATTTATATGATTATCTGCAGGATAAAGTCTATAACAAAATATTTGCTTCAATATTTTGAAATGTCCTATTGCCAACAAGCCCAATTATCCTTTTGAAGTGATAAGGTGGTTTAGGTTGACTTGGTGGATTTGTCTTTTGCTGCTTAATGTTCAAGAAAATCATTTTTATAAAACAAAACATTTTATAAAAAGTTTTTTTAAACATTTTGTAAAATATATCAAGGCTTGAAACGCCATTAATATGACCTTGAAATGTCTTCGTTAACATACTCTTACACCTATATTTATTGATCAATAAATATTTAAATATTTTAAAAATTAAGATGTATTTGTCTTTAGTTTATTATATAAAACAATGAAAAATTAACATTTTATTTTCATTTTTGACTTGGTTTTGTAAAGATTTAAGCAATAGCCAATCAAGCATAGGATTTCAAGGTTCCAATCAAATTTAATACCCGAAGGATATAATCTAACCTTAATTAAAATAAACGAAAAAAGACATCATTATTTTTATGATAGAAAAGTAGTACATTATCTATGAATTTGTATATGTGCAATTGTCAAATAAATTTTTGCACTTGTTAAGTTAAATCCAATTATTTCCAAGTTTGTTTCTGCGATCTTCAAACAAAAGAACAATAAAGTTTTTAATCGCAAACCAATAAATCTCAAAGCTTTGCTAACGAGGCGCCTAAGATGCGCTCGCCAAGCATTGAGGTGCAGAATTTGAATTCTAAGCCTCAAGAACCGCGATGATATCGCCAAGAAACATAAATTTTGAATATGAGAAACAATGCACTCTGATAATACTGCTACAATGTGGCATAGTTCATTTTGGAGGAGCACACATCAAAAATTCTGTATTGGTCAATCTTGCCACAATAGACCGCCGCATGAGTGGAATTGATGAAGAAGCTTTTATGTCACTTGGGTTATATCATTTTTTGATATAAAAACCAAAACTTTTGAGTAAAATGCAGCAGTTGATATTAAGCACTTCGGTTGAACGTATTTACTGTGCGTTAAGTGTACGCGGGAGGTTACAAAAGTTCTGAATCACATAAAGTCTTGAAAGTGGTGCTAATTAAAGTTGTGAAAAGTATAATAACTATGAAAGTGGTCAAAGAAGTTTTTATTTTATTAGGTATGTTTGTAATTTCGCACCAAAAATATATATACGAATTACGTGGTATATTGTAAATCTTATGTAGAATATATAATTTTTTAATATTTATAATAACTGTCATTTATAATTGTTAAGCATAAATCGGATACAATATAATTCATACATAAGTTTTAAGTTGGTATTATGAAATTCTAATAAAAATTAGACAATTATTTAAAGGAATAAAATTAAAATTAAGGTATCGCACAAACTTACCTTATTTATTTGAGTACTTAGGATTCTGCAAGTAAAAAAATTGAAATAATTAAATAAATTTTTTGAAAAAGTTCAACACATTAAATAAAAAAATCCACATTAAGTGTATAAAATTTACAATTTTGTGTATTTTATAAATGACATATGCCTTATTAGATGAATACGTTATTTTAGATAAACATAATTCGGGATGGTTCATATAAATATTGTATAGAATCAAATTTGAAGGTATTTCAAGGAATCCACTGAGGAAGTTATAATATTTCTTATAAAAAAATCTTCAATGGAATAAGCGAATCCAGTTATTGCATCAGACGAATACAGTAAATAATAATTGATAAATAAACTATGTTCAAAAAAGTTCTTGGTGGAAATACCTGGAAAAATGCGTTTTCGAAATTAAACTATAAGATCTTATGCACTGGAATAAACTTGCATAAACAAAAGGAACTTTCTCTAATGGAAATACTCTAATGGAAAAGTTAAGCTACAAAATCAAGGTTCTGTAACCAACACTGATGCATAAACGAAAGAATTTTATATACGGGTATCTCATATCAAATAAAGAAATAGAACTCTGTAACGAAGGTTTCATACTACAATTTATAGAAGTATTTAAAATTAAAGAAATATTCTAAGTTCATAAAGGGAGCGCAAGGGATCTATACATAGTAAAGCAAGTTCCACGACATAATAATTATACTACTGGGTACATCTAATACTGGGTACAAGTACATATTAGATAAATACAGAGAAAAGAATAATATCATGATCATAGAAAATACTGTATACGATTTTCAACATTGTCAGTATGTTAATTAAAAATAATTATTAAACTCACATAAATGAAACCAACTATTTATAATCTCCTATTTGTTCCATTTAAAATGTAAAATTTTGTATTGCATCATAATTTTCTAAAGTAACAAATTCTAAATTAAAAAAATATGTCTGCGCAATACATGTCTGCCTTACAAAATTAAATTCATTTCGATACAAAGTTAACTCTTTCACTTCATTCACGCATGTTATCCGTAGAGAACTTAGTTGAAATATACTTACATATATTAAAATAAACAAAAATCAAAGTATCAAATAACAGTAACCAGAAGCGAAAAATAAAAAAAGAGATAAAGATAGATAAAAATAGATAAC